AAATACTACTATAGTATTACATGTTTGATCCTAGGGCTTCCTGGTGTACGAAATCGATGAGTTTTTAGACTTTTTGTTATTGTTTATTATCATAAAATACTCCTATAGTATTTTAAACTTTAGGTTTGGTTCTAATGTTCCTTTGCATGTATGGTTGGTAAGTTTTAGACTTGTTACCACACACTATCACTCCCACACATGTTGGTCATATCTCAAATAAATACAGTTGATCAGGCTCTATTTATTCCAGATATGATTACATAATTGTCCAGGTTTGATTGTAGTGTTCAACATCTAAATACTTTGGTTTTGTTCTTATTATGATACGTTTTAGAAAGTATGTATACTTTTATAAAATACTTATATCTTTAAAGTATACTTTTAGTCAGAGTGTTTTAGTCCCATTGTATTTATAGTTGTATATCTTGTATGGTTAGATATACTAGTTCACTATAAACAATGCTCTGATACCAATCTGTCACACCCCCGAACCAGGACGACGGAAACGTCCGGGGTCGGTTGACATCATTGTGTAGTATCATAAAAATTGAATATGAATGAAACATAGCAAGAAAACATCATGCATTACAATATACCAACATTCATTGTTTTACAAATTGTACTTGTTTATCAATTACAATATACCAACATTCAGAATTATTTAGTCCCTTGCTGGGTTTATAGTTACATATCAATGTGTGGTTAGATATGCCAGTTCACTATAAACAGTGCTCTGATACCAACCTGTCACACCCCTGAACCAGACGGTGGAAACGTCTGAGGGCTCGCGTGACTTAAATTGAAATATCATCACAATGAATATATATGAAACATAACACATGCATCACCAACCATTACATAGTACAACTGGCATTGTTTACATCGAGTACAAGGTTTACATTACATGATTTCAAAATATAAAGTGTGTGGTGATTAGCTACTACAAAAGAAAACTTTCAACACACCGGATGCCTCCTTGTCTAATGATTACCTGAGAATACAAGTTATTTTGAAAACGGTCAACATATATAATGTTGGTGAGTTCATAAGTGTGTTTGAGGTAAAGTAGTTTATGTCATTGGCAAAACCCAGAAAATCCGATATTTTCTGTAATAAAACTTTCTTGAAAAATATTGTGATGATCCTGTAAGTATATGCGTGAATGATTTCAAAACATGAATAAATGAGAAGTTTTGCATTATAATGTTTGAAAGTACAAGTGAGTAAGATTTATTTCCCCGGAAAACCCGATGTCTTCTGAATAAAAGTTATGATTGTTTTGCTTTATTGAATCGTTACATCAAATGAATATGATTTCCCTTGATTAATGATCTTCCTTTGACTAATGATTTCCCTTGATTAATGATTTCCCTTGATTAATGATTTCCCCTGATTAATGATGTCGGATTTCTACGTGAGTCGTTATAACCATGCATGATAATGACTAGTTCGTCTGTCTTAGTATTCTAATGAACACCGAATTTTGATCTTAAGACTTTGTCACCCTAGACTGGCCGAGTCTAACTGTAGCGAACAACTTAGGTGTGGGGGAGTCACCCCCGTATAGATCTATACACAAACTCTCGCTCTCCTTGTAGGAGACTTTGATTACAACTACAGACTACGACCGACACTTAATGGTGTCACCCGTTATTACTCACTCAATCCACATGAGTTTGATTAACCTTGATTAATGATCAAATTTTATTTTATACGAAAAGAAGGTAAGCCTAACAGACGAGGAGAAGAGGACTACTAGGCCCTACTAATTTCGTATGTTATATAGGCTGTCGAGTATACGAAAAGCGCGTTGGCCCCTTTCGCATATAATTTACTTGGACCTTACTAGTAATGCATAATGGGCCACTGAGGCCCAATAGCACGTAAAAACCATTGAGGGTCCATTAAGCATGTAATTGGGTCACAGGAGGCCCAATAACATGTATTATTTATGTTGGGCCCAAAAGCCATGTTAATGAGTCACGAAGGCCCATTAAGCATGTTTAGAATCTCTCAAGCCCAACCACTTGAACGTTTACTTGTTTTATATAGAATTAATGTTGCGAGTTATTTAATCGATGTGTCGTATAATTCACGAATTTGTTTTATAACGATTTATAGATTTGTAAAAATAACTATTTTTCTATTTACAACCCATAAGTTATAAAGTTTTTCATATTTTGACCAAATTTTTATTATCAACTTAATTGACCAAAAACATTAGTTTGACCTATTCAGCCCCTTATTTTTGTAAAGTTGGCAATTTTTGCCCTCTTTATAAAAACATGACATTTTAGGTCCTTGAACCATTTTTCTTGACATCTTTGACCCATAGACTTGTTTAAGTAATGTTTTTAGCTCAAAATTTACTCTTTGGCAGTTTCAGCCCTTTCAGCAAACAGTTTTTCAGTTAAAGTCCAAACTTTCGCAACTTTTACAATTTTGACCCAAATTCCAAAAACTTTACATTTTTGATCCTTTTTGGAAAAAAAATCATTTTAACCCCTGAAATAGTTTTGTTTACCCTTTTCTCCCCTGTTTTGAGAAATTTACCATTTCAACCCCTTGAAAATCACATTTTTCGTAATTTTTGGGCCTATGGGCCGAAAAGCCCAAAATTTGGCCCATTAGGCTACAAATCACATTTCTAGTCCTTTAAAGAGCATAATATTCATAAAAACATTTATTTTAACTGTTTTGACTCTTTTGGTCCTTAAGAAAACCGTGAATGACAATTTTTAACCCAACTTTTGTTTATTTGACAAATATAGTCCAAAAATGAATTTTATGTTGCACTATGTTTATTATAACCTTAGAGGGTAATTTTTCTTGACTTGTTTAGTGTAATACATCTTAGATCATGTTTATTTTCCTTCTTGTGCCATAGATCTCGAGATTTCTTTCCTTTTTGTTACCTATTTACCACATAAACACATGAAATCACACATAACATACACATACACATAGATCTACACATTTTACTTGTATTCTCCCCCATAAAACTTGTGAAAACCGAAAATAGAGGGGTATGAACTCACCTTTGCTAGTTATTTTCGATTTGAAGAAGAAAGGGAAGAGTTTGATGTTATTTTTCGGCCCTAGCAAGCTTTCTTGGGTTGATTTCGAACTTAAGAAGCTTCTAAGAAGTAGATCACGAAAATGGTGTGAGTTAGGAAGAAGTTTTGATGAAATAAAGAGACTAGGTTATGGATCTAAACAATAACTTACCAATGATGATGATCATTATGGAATAACCTCCTTGAAGAGCCCTAACTCTCGAAAATTTTGAAGGAGAAGTGAAGAAGTTGTTGTGAGTTCTTGAGAGGATTTAGAAGTGAAATAAGTGTGTGTGTGTGTGTGTGTGTGTGTTGATACTCTCGGCCGAAACTAAGAACTAAGAACTAGTAACATTCATTAAGCGTTTTAAAACAATAACTAAGAACTACTTGGTGGATTAACGGACGGGTTGATTTGTTTCATAAAGCCCGCCAATTGTTGTTGCACTTGCAATTCCTTTTCACGTCGCATTTGTTGCATTTGCAAATCCATTTGACTTTTGCTTTCATCTATGCCTTGTTGCATATTTGACACTTGTTGTCGCAACTCATTTACATAAAAATAGCAAGACAAACACATGTAGTTAGTAAATGTAATTCAACTTTAAACCACGATAGCAATGTACTTTAAATTTAATTCATTATAAGAACACACTACACATAATAGCAAAGTACATTGTTTTTAATATCCATAATAGCAACATACTTTAATTTTCATCTATAATAGAAACATACTTTATTAACAATATAGCTAACTTTAAATATTCATAATAATACATACTATATTTTTACCCATTAAAGCATTGTACTTTACATTTCCAATCCATAATATCAATGTACTTAAATTACTATCAATAACAACAATTTACTTTACCTACTATCAATAATAGGAACAAAAATAATTTTCACCCATTATAACATTGTGTTTTACCTAATTTAATAATATCAATATATTTCAATTTTCATCCATAACAACAATGTACTTTATCTAATATCAACATACTTTTTTATCCATATCAGCAATGTACCTCTTTACTTAATTTTTTCCTCTATAAAACATTATGCAAATAACTGTACCTCTTGTTGTGACTTTGTAAAGTCATCAACAAATGAAGTTGACCCAAAAGAATATGCACCCATCATCAGAAAGTGAAGATATGAGGATCATGCCCCATAAATAGGACCCTTTTGTTTCCTGTCTTTCCTAACCAATTGTGTTTGGGTCCATAATTTAGGATCATTCACATTATGTTGAGTAGGACCATCACCATATTTTTTAAATAGGGCTTTGTTATATGATTCCTACAATAAATGAACGCTTTTGTCATTGTAATAAAAACTAATGTTAGTAGATACATAAAAAGATAAAGATAACTTACGATCGCCACCCTAGATGTCCCATTCGCGAAAGCCACTGGCGCATCTTTATCTCCCCCAAAATATATTTTATTTGATTCGGCGGTAAGATGTGTCTTATAATAAAGATCAATGACGAGGGTTGTTCAGCCGTCAACTCTTTCTATATAAACGACACAACAAAATTGATATAATTAGTGTTAAAAGAAAAACATATGACTAAAATCTATAACTATGATTACTTACCAATTTAAGATTTAAGACGGTGCTCCTCGAATCCAATGCTACCACCCGTATGTCCGGATGTCCACCAGTGTTGCGGTTGTTTTCTGCTTACTGACTTCTTTTTCCACTCAACTGTGTCCCATTTCTATAAAAAAATATATATATGTAAAGTTATAATACATAATAAAGAACAACAAAATAAGCAATAATGTATTAGATCGCTTACCCTACACAAACGCCGCCACACATCTCTATGTATGACATTAGGATTGAAATTTTCAAGAATCTCAAAGTTATCATTAATCTGTGCGATAACATGCCTGAACTTTCTCGCAGACTTTATCGATGCTTTCCCGGCATCCTTCATTCTAACCCATTATAGAAAAAATCACTAGCAGGCTCTTTATTGTGGCCTGTTATCCCATAACCATATGCAATACCATTCCCAACATTATGTACCACCCATGTAACTGCTATAGCATCAGTCAAGCCTATTTGGGGATTAATGGCACCCATGCTACTACTCCCTGAAAATCCCGACCTTAATGTCCCCGGCAAAGGGATGCGTGGAAGGCCATTAGGGTCAGGCGATGACTTGGATCCCGATAGAGAACCATCCTTAAAACCGTTGCGTGGAAGGTAACTAGGGTCGGGATGTTGTCCTTTTACAGGGGTATTTGTGTCTTTATGCAGAAAGTAACACAACAGGGGACAAAAGTTGAATATCACAATGAACAAAGTTAAAAGAGAAATGGGACAAGAAAGTTAAACACACAGGGCATGGGCAGAAAGCTGCAAATTTCTTATTCATAAACTGGAATAGAAAAGAGGATACAAACACCTCGTACATACTTGACTATTTAAGTAAAAACTTTGCATAAAAATAGAAACAGCTAGCTAGAGACCAGGGGACACTAACCCACATGACTTGACTTATTCTTTTCTACTAAAAGCTAAGGAAATTAAATAAAACATGCACAAGCTAAAATATGACCTGTACTCTGAATTACTTTAACACTTTCCCCCTTAATTCAGAGCTTGACACTTGCTTCACTCCAATCAAGTTGCGCATTTCCTCATGTTTCACTTTTTCCATCGCTTTGGTGAGGATGTCTGCCTTTTGGTTCTTGCTACATACATGCTTCACGATTACCTCACCATTTTCAACACATTCTCTAATGAATTGAAACCTTATGTCGATGTGCTTACTTCGACCATGAAACATCGGGTTCTTCATGAGGTCAAGGGCTGACAGGTTATCAACATACAAGACTGCAGTGGTATGTTTTGACTAGTTAAGGGAGTGAGAAGGAGGCGCAACCAAATGCCTTGACATACTGCCATTGTGGCTGCTATGAATTCTGCCTCACATGAAGATAAAGCCACAACTCGTTGTTTCTGAGATGCCCAAGTAACCAGATTACCATTCACATAAAAGACCATTCCCCCACATGAAGATATAGTGATTTTTCTTTCTCCTTTAGTATAAACTATGTCATAATCTAAAGTGCCCTTTACATACCTTAGTATCCCCTTCACTGCTTGGAGATGCTTCAAGGTTGGTTTCTCCATGAATATACTGACTACACCAACTGCAAAGCTTATATCCGGGCGAGTGTGTGTTAGATACCTAAGGCCTCCCACTATGCTCCTGTGTTCAGTGGGATTTACTAATTCTCCTTCTTCATCTTTTCTTAGCTTCAGTTTGTGTTCCATCGGGCTCTTGGTGGGATTACAGTCTAGCATTCGAGTCTTGGCCAGCATGTTCTTAGCATATGACTCTTACTTTAAAGTGATACCTATTTCATTTTGTCTCACTTCAATTCCCAAATAATAAGACAATAACCCAAGGTCACTCATCTCAAATTTTGCGTTCATCTCCTTTTTGAACCCATCAAGATGCTCTTGGCAGCTCCCTGTTACTATTAAATCATCCACATATACCCCAACAATCAAGTTCTTTTCACCTGTTTTTCTTGTGTAAACTGAGTATACTTGTAGACACCTTTTGAAACCCAAACTTTTCAAATACTTGTCTAAGCATGCATTCCATGCCCTTGGCGCCTGCTTTAACCCATAAAGTGCCTTCGACAGCTTGTAAACTTTCTCTGTTTCTCCTTCTTTCTCGTAGCCTTCAGGTTGTGATACATACACTTCCTCCTCCAATTTTCCATTTAGGAATGTTGATTTCACATCAAGATGGTGCACCCACCATCCATTAGTTCCTACTAAAGCTAGAATGAGGCGTACTGTTTCAATTCTGGCCACTGGAGCGAAAACCTCGTCATAGTCGATTTCGTGTTTTTGGATGTACCCCTTTGCCACAATCCTCGCTTTGTGCTTTATGATCTTCCCAGTTGGGTCTCGCTTTAACTTGTACACCCATTTTAAACCTATGGGATTTCGATTCTTTGGAAGATCGACTAACTTCCAGGTGTTGTTTTTTTCAATTGATGCCAATTCGACATCCATGGAAGCTACCCATTCGCTTCTGAGTATGATGTTAGTTCTCCATCATTACGAATCATCAGGAGTTCTTCCGGGGAAAATTAATTTCATTAGTATTCTCATATAACTCTGTGAGCAGCCGGTATCGCTTCGGGGCACCACCGCCTATGGAGCTTGAGGCGGTGCTGGCAGATGCTATCGGACTTGGAGTATTTGGTGTACCAGGTGAATTAGGTGTACCCGATGTATCAATAGGTGAATTATGTGGGCTTGACTCAGAGTTGACTTCAAAATTAATGGGCTGAGAGTCTTCGGCCCACTCATCATTACTTGGAGACCCAATCTCTTGTTGTGGGGTATCCGACTCCCACTCGACTTCGTCATCATAAACCTCGTCCAGGTTAAAACCTTCAACAGTGAAACTTATACCTGGTACCTTTTTAATTGTAGTACACTTCTCCCACTCCCAACCTTGTTGTTCATCAAAGACTACATCTCTACTCACGTAGATCTTCCCTGTATCTCGGTCCAGTAACCTGTACGCCTTCGTTCCCTTTTCATTTCCCAGATTAACCAATCGTACACTCCTCTCATCTAATTTATTCAGATGATTCTTTGCAATTCTCATATGGGCGATACAACCGAACACCCTAAAGTGTTCAACATTCGGCTTTCTTCCGGTCCACATCTCGTAGGGAGTCGAGTCCTTTAAAGATTTCGTGTGTGCTCTATTTAGGACATAAACTGAATGAGTTACAGCTTCACCCCATAAACTATCTGGAATCCTTATAGTCTTCAAGTTACATCTGACCATCTCTAATACCGTTTGATTCCTTCTCTCTACAACCCCGTTTTGTTGTGGGGAGAATGGAGATGTATATTGTCTCTCCAACCCTGTTTCATTGCAATATGTGATGAATTTGTTTGACAAAAATTCACCACCACGGTCTGTTCTGAACATCTTCAAGTTCTCCCCAGTCTCTACTTCTACCTTCCTCCTGAAGTTCTTAAAAACTTCAAAGACCTCATCTTTTGACTTTAGCAAATAAACCCAATTACTCTGCTAAAGTCATCAACAAGTAGCATGAAGTAACGATTCGCTGAGGGTGTAGGAGGTGAAACAGGGCCACAAAGATCACCATGAACTAGATCTAGTCTTTTTCTTTGCTGTATAATTAGAGTGTGATGAGAATGGTTTTCTTACTTGCTTTCCCACTAGGCACCCTTCACAGGGTTGTGCAGGAATATTAACCTTTAGCATCCCTTCTATCATCTTTTTCTCGTGCATATGCTTTATAGAGTTGAAGTTAACATGACCCATTCTCATGTGCCACAGCCGCGATGGATCATTGAATTTTGCTATCAAGCATACTCCTTTGACCTCTTCTAACTCTATTTTATAGAGTCTATTTGAGGACCTTCTGACCTTCATCAGTAGTATCCCAGTAACATCATGGACCCACAAAAATGGATCCTTGATTCTTATTTCATCTCCACCTTCTGCCAATTGTCCCAAACTTATTATATTACTACGTAAGTCTGGAATGTAATACACTTCATTAAGTTTTCGTTGGCTTCCATCCTTGCACTGAAAGACAATTGAACCATTTCCTTCAATTCGAACTTTTGCATCATTCCCAAACTTCACATATCCTTGAATTGACTCATTCAGATTTCTAAACTTGCACTTATCTCCAGTCATGTGATTACTAGCCCCTGTGTCAAGATACCATATACTTGACTGCTTGAAGGTGTCACCTTGTGATCTTAACTGTGGGGTCACATTTTCCTCATTGAGAAACACTTCACCATGTTCGAAGGTTGATAGAAGCAAAGCGGGTTCATGGTCTTGTATCAGATTGCTTTCTTGATTTATTTCTCTTCTGGGATTCTTACATTCAGTTGCATAGTGTCCAAACTCCTGGCAGTTGTAACATTGGATTCCACTCTTGTCTTGGCTACCAGATGCTTGGTCATTGCCTTCCTTTTGATGAAATGAACCCCTCTACCACGACCTCCACGACCACCAGTCCTACCTCTGCCTCTGCCTCTGCCTCGACCACATGAGTTTCCAATACTACCCCTATTTGACTTCTGCTTGGTTTCTCCATCTGTTTTCTTCTTGACCCTCTCTAACCATTCTTTATGAGTCAATAGAAGTTTCCTTTCATCACTCTATCCATGACCTTTCATCCTCTCTTCATGAGCTTTCAGTCTTCCAATCACTTCCTCAGCTGACATTGTTTCTAAGTCTCCAAATTGCACCAGTGTAGAGGCAATTTGAAGGAACTTAGATGACACAACCCTTATCAGTTTCTTCACCACATAGGACTCTTCTATGGTATCCCCTAAAGTGCGCAAAGTGCTCACTGTGTTGATCACCTTCACAGCAAACTCATCAACACCTTCCGATTCCTTCATACTCAATGCCTCAAATTCAGTCTTCAACGTCAAAATTCTTGCAGTCTTGACTCTATCTGCTCCCACGAACATTGTTTTTATTGCTTCCCAGGCTTCTTTGGCTGTTTTCTTCTTAGCCAAGGATAGTAGAAGGTCTTATTGTATTCCTTGATGGATGGCTGCAAGTGCCATCTTATCCTTCTTCACTTCTGCCACAGTGTTTGATGTCCTGGGTTCCACTGCATCCCACACTCACTGGGCTTGCATGAAGACCCTCATCTTGATAGCCCAAGCAGAGTAGTTACTTTTTGACAGAATCAGATAGTGGAGAGTAATCAAGCCTTCCTTCTCACCATTTCCATTGTTTCCTGTCATTTCTTTACGTGGTTGGTACTTTGGCATACACCAGGCTTTGCTCTGATACCAAGTGTTGGCCTTTTACAGGGGTATTTGTGTCTTTATTCAGAAAGTAACACAACAGGGGACAAAAGTTGAATATCACAGTGGACAAAGTTAAAAGAGAAATGGGACAAGAAAGTAAAACACACAGGGCAGGGGCAGAAAGCTGCAAATTTCTTATTCATAAACTGGAATAGAAAAGAGGATACAAACACCTCGTACATACTTGACTATTTAAGTAAAAACTTTGCATAAAAATAGCAACTGCTAGCTAGAGACCAGGGGACACTAACCCACATGACTTGACTTATTCTTTTCTACTAAAAGCTAAGGAAATTAAATAAAACGTGCACAAGCTAAAATATGACATGTACTCTGAATTACTTTAACACGGGAAAAGGTGATGACATGGCTCCCGATACAAAACCACCTGTAACAAAGTTAATTGTGTGGAAGTGTGCATCAACAAGGGTGGGAAATCGTCGGTGTAAGGCCTAGGTTTTGTTTGAGTAAGCAATTGATGAGCGTGCGATGA